CTGGGTTCGATTCCAGCTCGGGCGACTGTCTGTGTCAAGTTTGCACATTCTTCCCGTGTCTGCGTGGGTTTCCGCCAGGTGCTCCGGTTTCCTCCCACAGTCCAAAGATGCGCAGGTTAGGTGGATTGGCCATGGGAAATTGCTGGTAGTATCCAGAGATGTACAGGCTAGGTGGGTTAGCCACGGGAAATGCAGCTTTACAGGGATAGGGTAAAGGCGTGGGTCTAGGTGGAATGCTCTTCAGAGAGTCAGTGTGGACTAGATGGGCTGAATGGCCTGCATCCACACTGTAGGGATTCTGTGAAATAGTATGCAGGCCTTACTTGGAATGCAGAAGTAAGGAATCCTTGCTCCACCGAGCTGAGCTGTCTTCGAGTGTCATGAGAAATGCTGCTGCCTGCCAGGAATTATGCACTTCAACATGGTGCAACAAAAGTTGACTAACCTGATTCCAGCAATGACAGAGATTGAGTAGATTGAGAACGTAGGCTGTCAAGTTCAGAAGCAGGCAAGATGATCTCGATGAATCTGGAAGTTCCCGTACAGGTCAATATGAGTCAACCCTTTCACTTTTGTGCACGTTTGCAGCTGTTTAGAAAAACCTGAAGAATCCGCATGCTTAACTGCATGGATGCATAATACAAAAGAAACGGGGCATGATGTAGGCATTGAATGTTGTACTGTTTGACCATAATTGAACTCGATTCTGTGACTGCCTGCACTCCCCCATAGTTTCTCTTCTTTCTGGAGACTGTTTCTGGGCTTTAAACCTGGGATCATCCACTTGGGTACATATCAGTGATTGAAGCTGACCATCTTATCCCAGAACACTGTTAGGAATGGGTGTAGGTCTTTTAGCCTCTTGAGCCTGTTCTGCCATTCATTGAGATAATAGTGATCTGTGACCTAACTCAATGTACCTGCCTTTGGCCAATAACCCCTAATATCTTTGTTTAACAAAAATGTATTTGTCTCAGATTTAAAATTAACAAATAATCTAGTACAGAAAGATTCAGAAGGAAGGATCTTAATTTAATGTAAGAACTTCAGAAATAGGAACAAGTGTACTGCTGCTTGAACCTGCTGTTCCACTCAGTACAATTGTGGCTGAACTTGGACAGGTTATTTCATTTTCCCTCTCCATCTGTGTATCCCTCAGTTTCCCCATCCGCCAAAACTCTATCCATTTCTGTCTTGAAGAGACTGAATGTCCAGAGTTCTCTTGGTTAGAGAATGCAAAGATTCCCCTCTCTGAGTGGAGAGGTTGTGCAAGTAGAAAGGTTCAAAATTGGGTAGCTGATAGGATCTCCAGTCAATGTTGCAAGTGTTTTTAAGTGAGACGACGCTTTCTACTTGTAGCACCAATATTGTATTTGGAGTGCGCAGCCAGTTTGTTTACAATTGTAGGCTCTTTAAACTTATAAACATGGCAAGCACACAGAGCACTTTCAAGGTGCAACTTGTATGTGATCTTCAAGGTAAGTTTCAGATGCAAGGACTAAAGCTTCCTCCACCTTGTCACATGCCAATTTGACATTTTAACCGTCTATACCTTTCTTCCTCGGATCTTGTCCAGCTTCCCCTGAAATGTATTTATGTTGTCTGCTTCAGTCACTGCCTATATTGGTGACTTCCACAGTCTCACTGGATCTTCCAAACATGTTTATGAGTTGTCTGTCTTTTCTTTCTAGCTTCACTTCTCTCCCTTGTGAATCCACTTTCAGTTTCCCATCACCTCCCCAAAAGCATGAGCAGCTCTTTCCAGAATGATATTGGCCTGGCTTTGCTGAGGTAATTCTGACTTGTATGAGTTCCACCTCACCCAAACCAGCTCCAGTATTCCAAGAGCCGAGAGCCCTCATGTCCTGTTAGGTGTTTCTAGCCTTTTGTTCAGCAGCTGTGCCCTGGAGGTTAGAATCATATGGTTTACAGAATAGAAAGAGGCCCTTTGGCCCATCGTGCCTGCTCTAATCTAATCTCATTTTCCAGCTCAACTCTGAACCTTGAATATGATCAACAGCTGAGCACCCATAGTTCTCTGGGTTCAAAAATTCCAAAGTTTTGCAACTTTCTGATTGAGGAAATAATCGCTTCTCATTAAAACAGTCGACCCCTTACCTAAGATGATGGCTGCTATTTCGAGTTTTTCCAGCTAGGGCACAGAGCCCCTCAGCATTGAGCTTGTCAAGCCTAGGCAACAAGGAGAATTCCCTTTGTTTTTAGTTGACTAAAATGGATTTTTTAGCATTCACTGGGGAAGACAGACAAAGCCTTGATTTGATTGGCTCTCTTCCTGAGAGTGCAGCACTTGCCCAGTGCTTACATGGTAGTGTTGGGCTGAAGCATTTGTTCCACTGCTGCCTGGGGGGAGCTGCCTGTGTTGACTTGTGAAATTAGACTCGTGTTTAAAGTGACTACAACTTTTCTTGCTCCTTTCCTGTGCTGCTGTACCGGTTACATTGCACTTTGCTGAATTTCAGTTCCACTGTCCTCGGAGCAGCAAGAGCTGGCAGAGCCAGAGGATGTGAAGAACCAACTGAAAAGACGACAGCCATCGAGCCCAACTCAAGTGGTCTCCAAGCCTGCAAAAAGAGCAAAGATCAAAGTGACCATACTTTCGCAAGGAGAGCCATCAGCTGCCACTATGCCTTTCACAGGTGCCAAGGAGGGTAAGCGCACAGCTCGCTGTTGGGCTTCATTCTGTCATTTGGTGCCTCGAGGAATAGGGAAAGCAAATGGTGCCAGAGGTGGAGTGGAATCAGCCCTTTCCCCACTTCCTTCCTGTTGCAGTATCCTCCTCCAAGGCCACTCCCTTCAGAATCTGAAGCCCCAGCTGACGAACCTAATGTCCTCCCTCCCCACCAGCACCACCCTGGACCCAGTTCTTCTCCATCGTCCCTTGTTGGAATATTGCAGTTGTTGCTATACAGGAAGGGCATATCTTGCTTTCTCCTCACTGTCCTATATGACAAGGATTCAGCTGGACCCAGAAATATGGGGGATAAGCGTAGGGCAACAAAAGAGAGAGAGAGGTGCAGTCTGATGGTGTTGCTGTTCTCAGAACATTTGGCCATTAAGTCTCTCTGTCTTTATACAGATCCATCACTGTGGTGCTTAACATCCCAAGGAATTTGTCTTTCTGTTACTTTTCCATAACCTGCAGTATTTTATTTTATTGGTTCTCCTTTGAAAATCACTTATGTTGTCTGGGGACCAGGATCCAGATTGTACTCCCAGGATCTTGGAAGGTGGAGACTGCTCTGAGTGAAGGTGCTTTTTTAGACCAACAAAGGGGTTTTTACCAAAGTGAAGCCGCAGTGCTTCCTGACCATGGAGAGTTTGGACTCAGCACTTTCAAGTTGATGGAGACATTTGATTTATTTTTCCTTGCTAACAGGTGGGGCAGGGAAACCTTTAACGTTGTCCTTGAGCCAGCCAGGATCTGGTACCAAGGAACCGGCTGGAGCTGTCACAGGTCCAAGGTGAGTGCTGTCTCTCACAGCAGTGTGCACCGCGGCAATTTCACATTGTGTAATATTGTTCAAGAAGTATACCAGCAAAATGCTAGCGCTGACAAGTTTTACTGGCACAAGATGGAGCTGTGCTTTGCAAGCTGGGGAAATCAGACTCAGCCTATGTACAGAACATATCACAACACACCTTCCAAGATTTGCATTGCTGAGAGCCTGAATCCTGGGAAGTGACAGTGATAGGAGCAAATTACTGCAGATGCTGGAATCTGTACCGAAAAGAAAGCAGTCAGAAGTCACACGACACCAGATTATAGCCCAACAGATTTATTTGAAATCACAAGCTTTTGGAGCACTTCATCAGTGAGGTGAAGAGAGCAAGCTAATGTTTCGAGTCTAGATAACTCTTCATCAGTTCTGATGAAGCGTCATCTAAATTTGAGACGTTAGCTTGCTGTCTGTCCATGGATGCTGTCTGACCTGCTGTGATTTCCAGCATTTTTTTGTTTTCAGAATAGTGACAGTGATGTTGCTTCAAGCACCTTATATAGCCAGACTTGTAGTGCTCACTCTGGTTTAAGCAGCCAGTTGAGTAACTTGTGGAAATTGTGTTTATATTTAGAGACCTCTGAAGCCCAGTACTGATTTCAAAGATGCTTCCTCCAGTCTTAACTGTGTAGAATGGCGCTGCTGTTCAGGTACTTTGGAGTTTTGACACTTTTTGAGCTGTTTCAGTACAAAGCAAGTGCTTTGTATAATTCAGAAACTATGCCGATTCTCCATTCACTACTTGTTCAATCTTTCGGTACTTTCCTCCTGGCTGTGATGTGACCTGTGTCTCAATACCTGACCACGCTATGTACTGTCTTATGTCATTTCCACACAGTCGCAGAATCTCACTGGTGACTGCATCCATTAATCTGGCTGACAAATGCACCAGTCATTCTGCGCTGAGTATGAAAGCACTCTCTCTGGTGCCTGTGTCATAGAATTGCAGAATGGTGCAACATTGAAAGACGCCATTGACTCATTGTGTCCCCATTGACACTGCAGCTGACTTACTGCCACTGCCCTACCTTTTTACTTGGCTCTGTAAACCTTTCCCCCTCAGGTAATTATCTAATTGTCCTTTGAAGCCAAGATCGAACATTCTTTGCCTGCACTCCGTTATTTCCCAACAGCTCCTAACCACTTGCGGCCTGAAAAGGTTTCTCCTCCTGTCATCTTTCCTGCTTTTGTCAATCAGCTTAAATTTGTGTTCTCTGGTTCTTGATCCTTCCACCGAAGGGCATTTTCTCCCGTACACTTTGTCTGTACGCTCCCTAATTATGAGAGCTTATATTGGATCTCCTGTCCAAAGAGAACATGCCCCGCTCTCTCATCTATTGAGACAACTGAAATCCTTCCTCCTTTGAATCACTTTCTGCACGCGCGCACACACACACACACACACACCCACCCACACCACTACCACCCTTCCCCCCAAAAAAAAAGGCCTTCACATCCTCCTTGAATTCTGGTCAATCTTCCAGTTGAGGCGGTATAAGTGTTTACACAAATTATCGTAACTTCCTTCCTTCCCCTGTCACTTTGAATAATTTACCCAAATCACCCCAGATCCCCAGCTCCTAATCTCATTTAGGGTTATACCCTTTGTTTGATATTGTCTCGCTTTTTTATTTAGCAATGTATATCACTTCTTCATGCGCTCTGCATTAAATTTCTTTTGTCAGCTGTCTTCCCATTCTACCAACCAGTTGATGTCCTTTTCAAGTTCTGACCTACCCTGCTCACAGTTCACAAGACTTATAACAGAAATGTTGCCCTGTATACCAGGTCTAGATCATTAAACTATATCAGGAAAAGAATGGGTCCTCTCCATATTAATCCCTAAGGAATCCCTTCCTCCAATCTATAATACAGCCTTTCACTACTGCTATCTGTTTCCTGTCACTTAGCCAGTATCATGTCTGTGTTGCTTCTGTATCTTTTATTCTGAGTGTTCTAACTTTGCTGACAAGCCTGTTGTGTGGCACTTTACCAAATGCCTTTTGGAAGTCAGTGTATGCCACATTTACTACAATACTGTCGTCTGGAACCTCTGTAAACTATCTGTGAATTGTAACAGGAATCAAAGAGCCAGGTGTTACACTGGTTGGGATTACACTGTGGTTGGGATTGCCTTCTACATTCACCCAGTTAGGTGGGGGATGGATGGGGTGCAGTTGTGTGGCAGAATATGCAAGCTTACAGAGAAAGAATGGGTGATTGACACTGATTGCTAACCCTAAGGTGGGCCGATGAGCAGCATCCTCCGCAAAACCATTTTAGTTGTGGTTTTATTTGCATCCAGGAGCTCAATCACTGGCCTTTCAGCCTGGCTCTGGTGAGGAACCATTTGGTGCTGCTAAAGGCTGACCTGCAGGTGGTGACAGTGAAACTTGTACAGTGGGTCTGAGGGCTCACTGCAATGAATAGGTAGCTCTACAATTGGCAGTATAGAGTTTCCTTCAGCTGGAAGTCTGAATGCCGAGGTCCATGCAGAAAGGGCCACGCATATGCCTGGGCCTGATACTTTTTTTTGTTTTTGATATATTTTTTATATGTGCGGATCACAGGCCAAGTCTTATTTCATGGCCAGTGTCCACTGGCAGACTTTATGGGGAAGGACTTGGCATGGTGACTCTCAGTGTTGTCCATTCACCACAGACACTTCAAGGATGAGCTGGGCAGCATCAAAGCTCTGCTAACTCCACCACTTGTGTTTCCAAAAAACCAAGCGGCAGGTATAGAAGTGATGTGACATTTGGACTCTGAGTCAACTCGGAGAAGGGTGCCCAGTAATTGAGACTGACGCTTATTGAGCGCTGAACTTCTAGAGGTGTCATCTTACGGATGAATCCTCTAAGGTTCAGTCTGGTACCTCATTCGCATTCGTTTTCAAATTGGGTTTCAGAGCCTTTCTGTGCGTCTACAAAATAATGTGAAATGTGAGGCTGGTTGCGGGAATAGAGAGAGCAAGTACCACAGGGAGTTCCACCTCAGTGGGAAACACACCAGGACTGAGCAGGCACACAATCCACCCCACTGCTACCAAAGTAAATAGCTGAGAGACGTCATTGAAACACTCGGAGATGCTACATTGTGCAAAAGTGTTGTGTGTAAAGTTTGGACGGGGGTGTACATGATTGTTCACCCACTTGAGAGGAGTACATCTACCAAAACATTTCAAGACTCACACACAAAAGATTAACCACTTGCTCAGAAGATCAGGTGGGTTTTTTGTAGTGACTTGGCCTCAGTCAGCACCACTGATTATCTGATCATTATTCCATTTTCATTTAGAGGATCTTGCTGTTTCCAAATTGACTGCTGCATTTTGTATTTATGATAATCCCTCAAATGTACTTAAGCTTAAAAACTAAGAGCTGGAGTTCGCCATTTGGCTCCCGATCTGCTCTACCATTCATTAAGATCATGACAGACCTTATTGTGGACTTTAGTCTATACTTTCCTACCTCCCTCCAATAATCATTGGACGTGGAAGTTAATCAACCTCTGTGTTTAAAAAATATTGAGCGACCCCTGTCTTCATTGCTCTGAGGGAAAATGAATTTGTTGTACTCATGAACCTCTGGGAGGTAAAAGCATTTCTCATCTTAAATGGACCATGCCTGATTGTTCAGTTGTGCCCCCTAGGTCCAGTCTCTTGCACCCTGTCAAGTCTCTCTCATGAGTAGAGAGTGCTTCGAGACATTGCATGTTGAAAAATACTGTTCCTTCGGTCATGTCATCGGTGCATTTTCTTCTCCATTTCCCCAGATCGGCTGTGGATGTGTTCTCCAGTTGCCCAAGTACAATAACCTCAGCTGCTCCAGCTGTCAGCACCACAGCCAGTGCCTTCCATACTATCCAGGCCAGACTGGTCACCCCACCAGGTTCCAGTACTTCACAGCAACCTCATTCTGGGCCGACCACAACATCAGGTATGAACGCACTGTTCTTTAATTTGTTACCTTTCCTTCGAGTAAATGCTGAAAAACTGTTTCTGTTGGAAGGAGGATTGGTAACCCAAAGGTACAAATTGTTAACAGAACTGAAGAAGTGCTGAGAATAGTGGTTTTGTGAACTATGTGAAGGTGATTAGGCAGTGATAGGGTGAATCAGTGTGTAACCTGTGATTGGAAGCTGGTTATCTTTAAAGGCAGTATAGAACCTTTGTTCTTGCAATAAAATTTTTAGTGTGTGTCATTTTCTTGAAGTGTACAGCTCCCATGCATACATGAATAACATTTTAACAAAGAAACCTGAATCTCATCTGATCTAAGAGGAAAGAAAGGGTTAAACTTATCCTTTTGAGGGTGACAGTGCTACTTCCTGCTCCCAAGCTGCACTTAAGCTTAAGAAGGCAGGAATAGAGCCTAACGCATTAGCCATATTTGCATTTTTATTGTTTTGAAACAACAATACTGTCCTCACATGGTTTAAGGGTCCTGGATACTCCCTTCTCAACTGTGGGTGTAACAAAACCAAAGGTTATATAGCAATCAAGAACTAAGGCTTATACCATCTCAGGGGCACTTAGATATGTGAGCCAGCCAGTGATGCCCACATCTGCTGAAAGAATTTTTAAAAAAGTACTGACCTTTTGGTTTATGCCCAGGGACACAGTTGGCAAGTAGCCTGCTCCAAGGATTGAGCTTCAGTCTGCAGGACATTGGAACAAAGACTTCTAGTCTGTCATCTGCCAGCCCAGGCCAGGTACAGTTGCGTCATGTATCATACTTTTTCAACCGTTATGTAGAGAGAGAAGGTTTGAGAACGCATTGTTGCTCATTCTGAAGAACTTGGTAATGTCACCCATAAACAGGTGCTTCACCTTGCCCACGATTGTAGGACCAGAAAGGATGTAAATATAACAGTCATTTGTGAAAATAATGATCTAATGAGTAAATGATCAATCTCTGGAATAAAATCCCCGGAGGACATGATGGAAACAATTGTTATTGATTCCCTCAAATGGAAATTGATTTTTAAAAAAATTAGATTTTGAATCTAGGATATATGATGTGTGGTGAGAGCAATGAGTTTTGGAGAAACAGATTCCCAGTGTTGTCCATGTTGAAGTCTGGGTCTGCTGTCGGCTGACAATTAATGCAGCTATCAGAATGTTAAAAAGTAAACTGTTAACATCCTGGGGGGTTACCATTGATCAGAAGCTGAACTGGAGAAGCCATAGTGGCTACAAGAGCAGATCAGAAGATAGGAATTCTGCAGTGAGTAATTGGCCATGTGACTTCCAAAGCCAGTCCACCAAGTCAAGGAGTGTGATGGAAAATTTCACACTTGCCTGTTTGAGTACATCTCCAACAGTGCTCTGGAAACTTCACACAATCCAGGAGAAAACAAGCCCACTAATTTACAACTCCAACCACCGTTTTCAGTATCCCTTCCCCCACCACTGGCACTCTGTAACAGCAGTGTGTACCATCCACAAGATGCACTGCAGAAATTGGTCAAGGCTCCTTGACTGCACCTTCCAAACCCATGAGCACTATTAGCGAGAAGGACATTGGTAGTAGATGCGTGGGAACACCACCCTTGTGAATTCCCCTCACCATCCTGAACTGAATGTATATAGTCGTTTCTTCATTGTCACTGGGTCAAAATCCTGGAATTCCCTTCCTACAGCACGTGGACTGCAGCACTTCAAGAAGGCAGCTGAGTTCCACTTTGTACAGTGTGATGTATATGCTGGGAGACAGGGAGCTAGTTGATTGGGGTATCCCATGGTGGTTTGCAAATTGGCTGGACTGCAGCCACCTCCTTGGACTCCACACCTTAGGTGCTATCATGTTTTCAAGCCTTTCTGGTTGTGCCTGATGCAATTGGTCCTTGTGTCTGCCTTGGTGTTTCAGCAAAAATGTCGTTCACAGGCTCCAAGTGTGAAGAGTTCGACGTCCACCCTGGGCCATGTAACCATGGCAGCAAATCCTGTTGTCCGCACTGTCAGCGCATCGCCTGCACCAGGATTCCTGGGTGGGAACGGGAGCAGCAAATCTACCGCTATCCACCAGCTGCTGAGCAATGGAGGATTGTCCAAACTGACAAGCAGCTCGTCCACCCTGTCAGGTACTGAGAGCCACTGAAGGGGCACACCCCTTTTCATCCTTTCACCACTTCAGTGTGAACAGGATATCTTTGTTGTATCATCAATGTTGCAAACAACAACTTAATTGGTACCTTTAACATTATGTAGTTAAATGTGACGCTGAGACACACAGAGAAATATTCAGACAGATGGCCAGTGGTTTGGATGAAGATTTATGTTTTAAGGAGGGTCTCAAAGTTGAGAGGTATAGGGAGGGAATTCCAGAGGCAGAGTCAAGAACACTGGAGATAGATCTAAAAGTGGTAGAGTGATTCGAATCAGGGACAATCAGGAGGCTAGAATTGAAGGACCGCAGATACCTTGGGAATTTGTAGGATCAGAACAGATTGCACAGATAGAGTGGGGAGTAGCTAATGTGGATTTGAAAACAAGATGAAAATTGTAACATTAAGATATGAATTGAACTGGAGCCAATGCTGCTCAGTGAGTAAAAATAGTATGGCAGAAGAGTTTGCTACAATCTAAGATATCATTGTCAGGGATTTGACTGACAAATTTTTGGAGGTTGCACTGAGAGACACAACACCTAGGCAGGCGATCGGAATAGTTGAGTCCAGTTATATGTTGAGGGTACGCATGAGGGTGTTCTGGAGGTAGGCACAGGCACTTGGCCTGATGATGCAAAAGTGAGGTCACAGGTTCATCACAGAGTCATATATGACAGCAAGAATGTGAACAGACAGACCGACTGATTGTTGCTAAACGTTGGAATCAGTATGTAGGGAACATTGTTCAGAACAGGAACCAGACAAAATACTTTTTGAATCTTCCCAATATTTACTTGAAAGAAATTATTGCTCATGCAGCATCCATCAGCAACATCAGAGGAGTCAAGAAAGGCACAGGTACATTTGAGTTAGCTCACATCCAGCTAATGTAAGGGATAATGCTGTGCTTTCAGCTGATATAGCCAAGAAGCAGCATCTGGTCGAGAAAGCAGAGGCAGTCCGAGTCCGATGGTTGAGGCGCACCAGAGGGAACAATGTAGAAACTGGAAGATAAGTGATCGCGAATGATTTTCTTGCTATGGTCAGATTTGCTAGAATGGAGTCAGGTGAGGATGGTGGTGTGTTCAACCATATAACAGACTGCAAACCAATGACGAGGGACAAAGGGCAGGTTTTCTTCTTTCACGAGGAAAAGGTTGATATATATGCAGAAGGTCAGGGGTTGGTGGGAGGGAAGAGAGAGTAGACAATATTTAGAGATGGAGCCCAGAGAGAGAGAGACCAACATTTGGGCAAAGGCACGGGTAAAGGTCAGCCTGGGACAAAATCACTTAATGCTATTGGGGACCATTTGTGGCTGACAATGGGTTGGCTGTGCTGAAGGCCGTCCATGTGATGACAAGGTCATCGCTGGGACGGCACAGTCGCTCAGTGGTTAGCACTGCTGCATCACAGCGCCAGGGACCCGGGTTTGATTCCAGCCTTGGGCGACTGTCTGTGTGGAGTTTGTACATTCTCCCCGTGGGGTTTCCTCTGGGTGCTCTGGTTTCCTCCCACATTCCAAAGATATGCAGGTCAGGTGGGTTGGCCATGCTAAATACTCCATAGAGTCCAGGGATGTGTAGGTTAGGTGGTTTAACCCTGGTAAATGTGGGGTTACAGGGATAGGGTGGGTCTGGATAAGGTGTTTGGGCCATAAAATTATTGATTTTGAGTCCTGAAGGCTGCAGTGTCCACAAGTGGAAATTCAGATGTTGTTCTTCCAGCCTGTGCTGAGGTTCACTAGAGCGCTGTAGCAAACCTGCGACAGAGATGTTGGCCGAGGAACACGATGGTGTGTAGAAGTAGCAGGCAACAGGAAGCTCAGTGTCAGTTTTGCAGATAGAATATAGGTATTCTGCAAAGTGGTCACTCAGTCAGCGTTTTATCTCCCCAGTGTAGGGGAGACAGGAGACTACATTTTGAGCAGCGAATAGATTGAGTGACATATGCCTGGGGCCTTGGATAGTGAGGTGGTAAATGGACACACCATCTGCAATTGCATGGGAAGGTACTGTGGGGGTGTGGGGTGGTCTTGGGATTGGCGAAGGAATGGATCAAAGAGTCCTGCGGAAGTCTGACAATGGAGGGGAAAGGAAAATATGTCTGGTGTTGGTGGAAGTTGATGGTCATTTGGGTGTGGATGCTGGTGGTGGTAAGTGAGGACTCGGGGGACCCTATCACTCTTGCAAGAGGGAAGGGAAGGCGTGAGGGCAGAGTGTGGAAGATGGGTTGGGCACAGCTGTGGGCCCTATCAGTCACGGTGGAGGGGTGGTGTAGATTTTGGAGATCCCCTTGTGGAAGCTGGCATCATCGGAACTGATATGACAGAGATGGAGAAACTGGGAGTCTCCTCAGGAAGTGGGATGTAGGGTTGTATCATTAGGGTAACTGTGGGACTGGGTGCGGGGTGGGGTTGTGTTGGATATCGGTGGCCGGACCATCTGCAGAAATGGAAACAAATACTGAGAAAGGGAAGCGGGGAATCAGAGATGGACCAGGTGAAGTTGAGGGCAAGCTGGAAATTGAAAGCGAAACTGCTAAATATCTCCAATTCTAGACAAAAGGGGGAAGCAGTACGGATGATATGATCAGAGAAAGTTTTAGCGAGGAAGCTGAGTAGGATTGAAACAGCTAATTGGATCATCTTGATCCAGCGACAGATTCCATGACCACCTTGCCCTTAGTGTGGAATATGAGAGTGAAAGAGACAAATGGTGATTGGAGTCAGGCAATCTGTTTTTTATTGAAATAAAATCAGAGTGCCGGAAATCCTCAGTTGGTCATGCAGCATTTGTGGAGAGAGAAGCTGAGTTCATGTTTCAGCTCAATGACTTTTGAGTTTTTTTTTAAACTTCTGTTGACTTGAAGAATAAAATGTTCACCAGAACTCTCCTGGCTCCTCTTGGAAGTCAAGTCATGGAATTCTGTCTGTCCACCTGTGAGGGGCAGCCTTTTCTCATATCTGATGGACAGAACGCCCTTTTACCGGCACAGTTCTGCCTCAGTATTGTACAGGAATGCCAGACTTAATCATGGGCTGAAGTCTCTGGAATGGGACTATGAATCCCTGACCTTTTATCCCAAGTAGGTGGGATCTACATGATCATAGACAGTGCCTATCTCTTGTAAATATTCTACAACATCAACATTTGTAAAATAAGCTCTGTCCTGCAACCTGTACGCTGTGGCCAACTCTTGACCCATATTCATTTCCACTTCATGTTCTCAGGTGTGAAGCCTCCAACCACAATCACTGTGACCCTGAGGACCCAGGGCAGCCGAGTGTCATCCCTAAGCCAACCTAGTACTGTCAATGCCATGCCCAGCTTATGTAGCACGGTGGGCAGCCAGGTTGTCAACCTCGAGGAAATGGATCAAGAGGGCAAAGTGCAGGCGGCACAGAATCAGCAGGTGACAGTCCTGATGTCTCAGCTTTTCCAAAGACTGTGGGAAGTGTCAATTCTTTTAATATAGCAATCCGGTCTAAAGTGGGAGTGGGAAATGTTTACTGCACAAAAATGTTTCCTCCTAAAATGAGGTAGATAATGGAGTTATGGCTGTCACCATAAAACAAACAAGAAATGTTCATGACAAGGGGGACGCCTATTTGACTCCGTTAGGTGGGAGACAATTTACTAAAGGCTTTTAGCAAGGATCAGAAAGAAATTTAAAAGCTGGGAGCTGGCCTTCATTTGAAGGGAGCAGGAGTAAGGGTAAAAGTTCTCATACAACTGTACAGAACTCTGGTTAGACCTCATCTAAAGTACAGCCTTTAGTTCTGGGCACTACTCCTTAGGGAAGACAAGTTGATCTTTAAGGGAGTGCAGCACAGCATTGATATAATCGGTACAATTGTTTTCTTTAAAATCAAATATTACCTGAACAAGGCTTGGATTTACTTCTGGTCGGAAGACTCAGGGTGATATATTTTGAGGTATTTCACATGATGAAAAGAATTGATAGGGTAGGTTAAAAGCAATTCTTTCCTCTGTTTTCCAGTGGTCTGGGATGTGCAAAGTTTATTTGAAGCTCAAGCTCCTAGAGCTTGATGCTGTGGAAGCTCTTTTCCACAAAAGTCGTGAAGTGCAGGCCTTCTCTTCCCCAGTAAAGGATTTGAAATGTTTAAAACTGAGAATGATAGTTCTTGTCAGGTCTGGGTATCTGTAGCAGTGGACCAAAATCGTTTGGAAGTGGTGCTGAGGTATAATGTAGTATGATCTGGCGCAATCATGGAACCAGGTAGATGGGCTAAATGGCTTCTCGTCTCCTGAAATAGACATGATGGGAAGAACTGAAACACTTCCAACTGTGCAAGATTAAGACTTGACTGTGTGGCTTTGCACCTGACTTCCAGAGAGAAATTTGAGATCTCTGAATCAAGTCTGTGCTTTGTCTGCCCTGGGAACATTTGATGGAATGAGGAGAGGTCACTTTGCTCTGCAACTGCCCTGAGCTGCTACAACATGGCTGAGATACGGAGTAAACCAAGTGCACAGAGCTGCGACATTGTGATTGCTCGACAAGGTGGCATTTCCTGTTTTGTAGGTTAAAACACGGCTCCTATTTTCAGAGGTAGTTTTCCACATTTGACTGGTGTTCCCATGAAACTGTCGGCACATTTTTTCTTTATTCATTTACAAGGTGAGAGCCTTGCTGGCTAGACCAGCACTTATTGCCCATCCCTAATTGCCCAGAGGGCAGTTAAGAGTCAGCCACATTGCTGTGGGTCTGGAGTCACATGTAGGCTAGACCAGGTAAGGATGGCGGTTTCTTTCCCTAAAGGACATTAGTGAACCAGATGGGTTTTTCTGACAATTGACAATGCATTCATGGTCATCATTATACTTCTAGTTCCAGATATTTATTGAATTCAAATTCCACTCTCTGCCATGGTGGGTTTTGACTCTAGGTCCCCAGAACATTACCTAGGTCTCTGGATTAACAGTCCAGCAATAGTACCACTAGGCCATCACTTCCTCTTTGACCTTGTCTCTCTCTCTTTCTCTCTCTGCAGTGCTGTGACTCTCTGTTATCGGTCCCGAGCTCCCAAGGCACTAGCACAATCAAACAGACTACTGCACCAGGAGATGTCAGCAAAGGTCACTCCCCTTTTGAATTAGCCTCAGTGGAGAAGATTCCAGAGTCCCAGTCTTCATCTGCAGTTGTAGGTGAGGCTACACGCAGGGCAGGTAGATACTGGCATTGAGCTTAGATTGTGCAGTGGAATCTTTGTTCAGCATTAACTGTCAAGATGATAAATTGTCTCCATGTCACCAATGCTGTTCATAAACACAATGGTCTGTAAAATGTTGCATAATCCTTAGTAAATAATAAGGATGCATTGCAGAAATGCCTTGTGGTGTTTGATGGAGATTGCCTCCAGTAGGAAAGCAGCCTTGTTTTATTTTGCTTCCAACAACTGCCTTTTGGGTGATGAACCACAGATTTCTAAGTGCTCGGTACCCTTTGCTTAAGACTTACACGGTTTTATCAGGTCGTTGTCAAGGACTTTATTGCCCCATTCAATACTGCTGTGACAGGACGAGGTCCTGGAACAGCACGTGGTGCAATTGAGGAGAAACATTTGGCTGATGGTGAGACTTTGGAAGCTTGCAGCAGTGCAATTTATCCCCAGCTGCTTCTAAAGGAAAAAATAGTTTTGATAGGGGTGAGGGTTGAAGAAAAATGTATGGCTACTGCTGTGGATAGTTCGATGGTGGGTATGGACACAATCGTTGAGTTTCAATAATTCTGGCTTTGAATTAAGCTGAATGCCTCATTTTCTGAAGATAGATTAGGATGCACACCAAGGTACATGACACTGGGCTGAGTATTTATGATGTGGTGTTGGACTGGGGTAGACACAGTTAGAAATCACAAGCTTTTGGAGTGCTGCTGCTCCTCCTATCAAAGGAGCAGTGCGCTGAAAGTTTGTGATTTCAAATTAACCTGTTAGATTATAAAATGGTGTCATGTGAATTATGGCTGAGCCATTGCTATTTGATATTCTGATCAGAGTTTATTAATTCCTCATTCTTTTCCAGTGACTACAAGTCCAACAAAAACTCTTTATGTAATGTCTGATGCCAAGATGTCTGCGCTCACCAAGTCTATAGTAAGTCCACTTGAAGCCTGCCCTCCGAAGTTGTCAGGGGCCTCTTCCTTGAATGCAGCTGGCCCAATCGTGGCTCCCTCCACCTGCACAGTGATGCTTTCCAAAGTTGGGCCTGTCCTGCAGAGTTCTTCAAAGACAGTCATCTTCACCACTAAGGGTGAAGTGTCATCTGCAACAACTGGGGAAAGATATGGCCTTGCTTCAGTGCTCAGTACCAATGAGACCCTAGGCAAGATGCCTTCAGTGATGGATCAAGGCAGCACCATTATCCATACCACGGAAATTACTCACCCCTCTAGTACACCATCACCAGCCACACAGCAAGGGCCCTGAAGTTATCTTAAACAGTTGTTAGTTTACCCTGAATGAACAATGACACCATGACAAGGGGGATTTGTTGCTCAACTTATGTTCATGTAAAATTTGTAGAATTTTTTTTGCTCATTACATAAAATGCATTGCTTTCAATGTTTGAAAAACTATTGTCATCTTTACTTTCTGCCAAAATGACATCTCCCCCTCATGTTAAAATCTTTCCTCCACCAACTGACTAACAAGTTTCATCCCTGTTTGGGAAATCAGATCTTGAGGGCCAGCACTCTTCAAAAATAACAAAGGCCAAGAAACAGCTGGTAGAGGTAAACTTCATTTTTAATATTTTCTATTTCTGTAAGAATACAATGACAAACAATGCGGAGTGTTCAACATTGAGTCCCAAACCACAAACATCAAGTGAGATCCAAGGAATGCAGATGAGTAAACGGAGTGTACCCTGCACTGTCTACATTCAGTGATGGTGGGGTACAAGCTGGTAATGAGCTCCACAGGAAGGGCAGCGCTGAGCATCTCCCTCATGGAGCCAGAACCAGATAACAGCAGTATTGTCTTCCTCACCTGCAAATACAATATTCAACATTAATAAACATACAAACATTTCCAACCACAT